TGGCATCTCTGTCCTGCAACATTCTCCCTCATTACTCTCATAGCAGGAAAGATGCAGAATAATACAGCTATACTTATGACCTGGTTAAAGAGACGGAACATTTCTCTCTGTGTTAGACAGATGCACAATCATAGCAAGTGGTTTTTAAAATTTATTTTATTATTTTTATTTTATGCGTATGGGTGTATTGCCTGCATGTATGTAAGTCACCCGTGTCGTGCAATGCCACAATCAGAAATGGGCATCAGATCCCCTGGAACTGGAGTTACAGAAGGTTGTTAGCTACCATGTGGGTGCTGGGAATCAAACCCTAGACCTCTGCAAGAGCAGCCAGTGGTTTTAACCCCTGAGTCATTTCTCCAGCCCCACAGCAAGTGATTTTTATAAAAAGTTAATAATTATACTACTTATGATAGTAAAACTGGAGGCCAGGTAAGAAGACAATGCTATGTTTCCTTAATGGAATACTGTGTTCCTATTAAACAATAAATAGGTGGACTATAAAATGCACATGTGATTACTGCTGGTTAAAAACTCATTATGTTATTATATTGAAACGCTAATTTAAAAACTCACTTTCTCAAATCCAGACTCATAGTTGAAAGAGTTCTTAGAAACCATCTTGCTTTATGAACTAAGAAACAGGCTATGTCTATGCTAAAACAAATACCTTTGTGAAGTCAGTAGGCAGGAAGAATTCATAGCCTCTAGCCCTAAAGAGAGACTAAATTACATCAGGGTGGATGATTTTTCCTCTGGTATCATGCTTTTTTAGAAAAATTTATTTTATTTTTATGTATGAATGCTTGCAATATAGCATGCTTTTAATCCTTCATCAAAAATGGTTGAGCATCAGCGAGTCCAGCCAAACATTAATCCACTGAAGGACTAAAGAACGGGTTTTGACTTCTCAACCCTCGGAAGAACAAATGCAGTTTCTCTCGTGGGGCCTATTTCACTTAGTTGGGGCTCTGTTCTTCTTTGTGAGTCACAGCTTTTACAGAGAATGACAAGGGGCAGCTCATACTTCGGCAGAAAGAGATGAAGTCATCAGAAGATTAAATTTGGACAGGTTTGGTAACACATGAACTTAGTTCCAGAAAGCTACCAGTATTGGTTAAAAATATGACTCTCTGTTGGAAGCATACCTGGGGAGCATCCAGCCCCAGAGCTGTGAGAAGGCAGAAAGAACTCACTCTACAGGAAACGGAAGACAGGCTGAATGTGCCACTGTGTACAGGCACCGCATTCTGGGAAACATGTCAAGAGTCCATTTCTTGGATCTCTAGTGTCAAATAAATCATGGTTTTCTGCGGTTGTTTTATACAGAGTTATGACTAGATGTTTTCTACATTTTTCATGGTTCAAAGTTCCTCAGGGGCCTACATCTGTCCTTTTGTCCCTGTAAAGTCCCTACTGTGCATCAAAGAAATGCTATTCAATGGTGAAAAGTAATTTGATTCAGCCTCAGGCTCACTTAATTTTGAATCTTTAAACTGTTTCTATCGTATTTCAATATGTAACTTAGAAAATACTATTGGAAAATGCTAAATCTTTATAAACAAACCTCCTAGTTTTAAAGTATTTTGTAAAAGTTGAAAACTAAATGTTCAGAGTAATTTAATCTATCTCAATTCTGGTTTTTAAGAAGTATGTATATCTCCCTTTTAAGTCATTTTAAGTGTAGATGGTAAACCCCCTTTTGAGTATGTAGCCATAAGAATTTAAAATAGAATCTTAAAAAAATACATGTGAACATTCATGTTTATTGTAGCACGCTTATGTGGAAACAAATGTTAATTGGTTGATAAGTGAATGTTTTAAATGTGGTGAATACGTACAAAGGAACATTATGTAACCTTAAATAAAGAAATCCTGTGACGTGTACATGGAGGATAAACCCTGAGTAAACTGTGTTAAGTGAAATAAGCCAGTCAGAAACAGATGTCCTGCATGATCCCACTTCCATGAGGTATCTAATGTAGTCAACCCATAGAAATAGAGCAGCACGCTGATTGATGAGGGGAGGAAGAAGGGGAAGACAGAGGTGTTTAGTGAGCATAGATTTTCAATTATGCCAGATGAAAAAGGTCCCAGATATCTGTAGTATAACAAGTGCACATGCCCAGAAACTCAGTTCTGTACTGTACTTTAAAATCTGTTAGAAGGAGGCTGGGGCAAAGCACACTGGTAGAGCATTTGTCTAGCATGGGTGAGGTCCTGGGTTCAATTGCTATCACTATACAAACATAAAATAACATTAATAAGGGAGCAAATGTCTGCTTCTTTTTTTACATTTCACATATGTACACATGCATGTACACAAACACATACACATTTGTAAATATATGTATAGTATTTACCTTTTCTAGATGTGTTTCTTTGAAATGGGGGGGGAGGCATACACACGTGTGGAGGTCAGAGGACAGCCTCAGGTGTCAGTTCTCACCTTCCACCTCAATGGACACAGTGTCTGCTGTGTTCACTGTTGCATAGGTCAAGGTAGCAGGGCTTCTCTGCCTCCATCTTACCACAGAAGCACTGGAATTACAGCATTGTGCTACCACATCAGGCTTTACATGGCTGGGTTTGGGCCTCTAAACTCAGGTCCTCACACATGCACTTGCCATCTCTCCAGCCATCTCTTCAGGAAAAATCTAGATTTACTCCCTGTAGCCTATTAAACTTAAGGAGAACTTTATGTTGTCATATTTGAGATGCCAGGGGATATAGTCAGAAAAAGACTGTTAAAGAGGTCTTACTAACAAGAGGATATGTAGAAAAGACAGACGGGTAGTTAGCAGTTACTTCCATGTGCATTTTAAATAGTTTCTTTTCAGAAAAGAAGGACAAGTGTACCAGAAGGATGGGGAGTCATTAAAGGGATAATGCTAAATACCAAATATTCAGCCAAGTCTCAGGAAGTGCAGATTTCAAAGGAAAACCAGCAGGTATTATGCAGTGAGCTGCACAGAGCAGCAGCAGCATCACAGGTGTGCTCCCAGCGAGGCCTGACGTGGTTTTTCCAGAGAAAGTACCACCCTGACTGAAGTGAGGCTGGTGTCGAGAGGCCAGGAGGGTTCCAGGCAATGATGGCAGCAAGTTCTGAGACCCTAGGAGTCTAGCAGAGGTGTTACATGGTGGTGAGAGGGCCTCGAGAGAAGGCTGACTTCTACCCACAGTGGAAATCTGACAAATGTTAAGCAAGGAGACACAGACAGCTCTGTCTTCCTCAGAATGACTAGAAGGTAACTGGAGGAGGCCCAGCTAGTACTGCAGAATGAGGTTCTTAAGAAGGCTGACTTGACTTACCTGGTGATTGATTGAATCGGTGGGGGCAGAAATCAAAGAAAGGAGAAGGTCAGAGAATAGTGGACTCCTTCCAAGAGTGAGTTTCACAAAGTTTGAATTTATATGGAAAAATGGGTGTGTGGTGGATGTGTAGAGTTTAAGATGCCCGATACTCACATGTCCCCTTCCCTTGCTGCCGCCCTAAAAAGACAGTACCCTAAGTTTCCCCAATGATAATCATGGAAAAGAAGGCCAGAAAGGATATTAGAATCATGACATCCTCTGCCCTTCTTTTTATGCATGAGGAAACTGAGGCCCAAATAATTTAGGAGACTTCCCCAAAGACACACAGGATTCTAACTCCAAACACATTCCCACAGCCAGAACCCAAGGAAACATGCTCTCTTTTCTTGCTTTTCACAGTGGTGTTTGTTTTCTGGCACTGAGTGTTGGAAAAGGTCTTGCACATGGTAGGCAAGAGCTCTACCACTGAGCCCCAGCTTCAGCACTGTGCTGGATAGCTTTAGTGTCAACTTGACACACCTGGGTTGAGGGAGCCTCAATCGGGGAATTTCCTCTATTGGACTGGCCTGTGGTCATGTCTGAAGGGCATTTTCTTGATGAGTGATGTGGGAGGGCCCAGCCCACTGTGGGTGGTGCCACCCCGGGGCAGGTGGGCCTGTGTTGCATAAGAAAGCAGGCTGAGCAGGGGCCAAGAGAGCAAGCCTGTAAGCAGCGTTCCTCCGTGGCCTGTGCTCCAGCTCCTGCCTCCAGGTTCCTGCCCTGAGTTCCTGCCTTGGGCTCCCTGATGAACTGCGTGCGACCTGGGAGATGTAAGACAAACCCTTTCCTCCCCAAGTTGGTACTGGTCAGAGTGTTTTGTCGCAGCAATGAAGAAACAAACCAGGACAAGTACCTTTCCTCTGATTTCCTAGGCATCACCTTAACCATCCATTCTTGAAGAAGCCCTGCCTCCAGAAGATGGTCACTGAAGCATGAGAAACCTTTGGTCTTTGAAACAATCATATACTCAAAAACATAAAAATAATCAGAAGTAGCTGAAAGGTTTCCAAGGAACTTAAATTGGTCCCTGGTCAGTTTGATGGTAAGAATCCCATTAGATGATTTCAATTTTCCTTATTGCTTAAAAGTACATAATATGGGGCTGGAGAGAGATGGCTCAGTGGTTGAGAACATTGGCTGTTCTTGCAGAAGACCCAGGTTTGAATCCCAGCACCCACATGGCAGCTTACAACTGTCTGTAGCTCCAGTTCCAATGATGGCTTCTTCTGCCCTTCATGGGCATTGCACAACATGGGTACACTTACCTACATGCAGGCAATTACACGCATACACATAAAATAAAAATAATAAATAAAATATCTTTTTAAAAAGTCCATAATACATCAAATACATTATTTTTCACTAAATAAATCCTTAAATATCCATTTCTATGCATTGTCATTCCCTATAAAGATTTGGTTTGCTATTCATTCCTGCCATATGGGTTCCTATAAGACTTTATTCTTTCGATGAAATTTGTGAGATTTGTGACAAGGTTTTTTTTTTTAACTGTGAGAAGAGTTAATATCTATGACTTCCATTCATTTAACTTCTATTTTTAGTCTGCTATGGTGAGATGGTAGATGTCAGAGGCAATACACTATTGAATGAGGGACAACACAAGTCACAGGAAAAGCAGCAACTACCTGAGACGGGTGTCCTTAAAGGTGTCGAGGAAGGCCGGGTAGCTCCACTCCACTTTGCCTCCTTTGCATCGAAGCTCCAGAGTTTGCCCTGCTGTCAGAGTCAGAGTGGCAGCAGGCTTCTGGAAGCGACCTTTATCCATCGCCTGTATCATGATGGACTGGCTCTTTGGTGTTGAGTCAGTTGAGTCTCTGTCCTTTATCTTAGGAACTTTGGGTTTAACCTTCTTGCTGGTCGGTTTGATTCTGTTCTCCCCTTGCTCCTTTGAACGTTTGTTCTTGGGAGAGTGTTGACCAGCAACTGTGAAAATGTGAGACAGTAACAATGTAAGAAATCTGCAGCAGATGACGTCAGTGGTCACCTCCCCTAGTCTATGCCCAGACCATTTTCGGAGATAGTCACAGATAAACATAAAGCAAGCCCTTTACTGTCTTGATCCATTATTCAGTCTGAAAACAATGATTTTAAAATGTATTTCAGCTTTAAAGATATTATTCAACATAAGCAAAGTATAAACTAACATTTTCTTTTATAAAACCGAAACATTGGGGCTAGAGAGATAACTCATTGGTTAAAAAATAAATAAATAAATAAATACCACTTACTTCTAGAGGACCTAGGTTCTGTTCCTAGCACCCACATGGCAACTAACAACTGTCCTTAACTCCAGTTCTAGGGGATCCGGTGCCCTCTTTTGGCCTCCTTGGGCATATTACACATGAGTGCATTTACATACATGCAGGGTAACAAAACACTCTTACACATAACTCATAAACATAAAACAAAAATAAATAAATAAGTAAATAAATAAATAAATAAATAAATAAATTGTTTTTAAAAACCCAAAACATTATTCTCTGTTTTTTGCACCCCATCTCACAGTTGTGGTCATCTAGTAGGGCAGAACTAAAGCTAAACAAAATTTGTTTCTGGTCTCAGTGCTCCATGTACCCATGTTCAGTTGAAACCTACTTTTTAAAATGCAGGACTGTGTAATCTCTCAGGACTAGAGACACAAGTAACATTGGAAGTATAATCAGATGGCTCCGAGTCTCTCTAAAAATGAAAATGTAGAGTGGGACCCACATTTGTTATGGGCTGGTCAGTGCCCATGTAGAATACAAACCTTATGGGGCTGGGGATGTAGCTCAGTTGGTAAAGCGCTCGCCTACTATGCAATGCAATCCTGGGTTCAATCCCCACCTCTGCATAAAACCAGGCATGGTGATGTATGTCTCAAATCCTAGCATTCAGGAGGCTGAAGCAGGAGGATCAGAAATTCAAGGTCCTCCTCAGCTACATAACACATTCAACATCAACTTGGGCTACATGCAACCTTGACACCTCCCTGCAAAGAATGAGCACTAAGCATATAATAATTTAACGTTTATGTATAAGTTATTGAAACTAAACTGTAGGGCTGCAGAGATAGCTTAGTCAGTAAAGTGCCTACAGGGCAACCGTGAGAATCTGAGTCCTGATCTGGAGCAACCACATAAAAATGTAATTCCACAAGAGAGAGTTCAGTCACTACCTCCCCACAGCCAGCTCAGCCAGGCAAGGCCGGGAGGGAGTGGGACAGATTCTGGGAGGAGTCCTGGCTGGGCTGTGTGGGGAGTTGCTTGGCTGTCAGTACCAGAGCACAGGCCCCAGAGCCCTGCTGGAAAAGGTGGACCGAGGAGGCAGCTCCCAGGCCAGGAGAGGAGCTGAGGGCAGTGAGATGGCTGACTGCTACATAGAGCTGGAGAAGGCGGTTGCTGTCCTTGTGGAAAACTCCTACAAATGTGTATCTAAGCACAGCCTGGTCAAAAACAAGATCAGCAAAAGCAGCTTCTGCAAGATGCTCCAGAGAGAGCTGAGCCATATGTTGACGGATACAGGGAACCGAAAGGCTGCTGACAAGCTCATCCAGAACCTAGATGCCAACCGTGACGGGCACATCAGCTTTGAAGAGGTACTGGATGTTGATAGGTGGCATCACCAGCCCCATGGCCAACCTCATCCGCCAGCAGCTAGAAGCCTCTCTTACACCCTTTCTGCCCTGACCCATGCCCTGCCAGTGCTCTTTTCAGGCCCCCCTCACCTCTTTCTTCCCTTCTCCCTCCTGATCTGTTCCTAACCCTCACAGAACAGCACAAGGGATATCAGGGCCTCTCTGTAAGTGTCTCAGTGTGATAGTGCTGCCCTAAGAGGTTCAGTCCTCAGAGTCCATAGGCCCTAGGGGTTCCTCTGTGAGATCTCAATGCTGTTCGGGGGCCCCAAGAGTTTCCTCATTTGTCCAGTCTATGTACTCTTCCAGTGCCTAATGTTCCTTTGATTCTTGCCTGATTCTGGGTCTGTCCTGGCCTCTGGAGGTCAGCTTGCTGCTTGAGGGCTCCCAGCTCCTGGCTGTAGCAGCTGTGGAGTTGGCAGCACCAGTATTATCTTCTCTTCTTTCCCTCCACCCCTCAACTGGGTGGAGAAACACTCTAAGGGACCCCCCCCCCAGCTGTCTCTGTCTGGGACCAGCCTAAACTGGGTTGAGTCTCTTTTCTGCTCTGCACTGAAATAAAGGCTGGATTTGGAGTTTGTAAAAAAAAAAAAAAATGTAATTCCAGGCCTAAGGTTGAGGTTTGGCGAAGGGGAAATGGAGACAGGTGGATCTCGGGAGCTCATTGGCCACCCAACCTACCGGTTGGTATGACTTAGATTCAAGGAAAGACCCTATATAAAAATTAAGGTGGAGAGTGTGGGTTGACCCAATGTTGACCTCTGACCTCCAGAAGCGCGCGCGCACGCACATACACACACACACACACACACACACAAAGAAAACCCAAAACAAACCAAAACCCTTAACTGTAGCAATGGCTTAGAGTTTAGCTAATGAAATGTTTTTGGAGGAGTTTTTTGTTTTTTTCTTTTTTTGTCTTTTTGAGAAAGGGTCTCCCTGTAGCCCCAGCTGTCCTGGAACTCACTATGTAGACCAGGCTGGCCTCAAACTCACAGAGATCCACCTGCCTCTGCCTCCTGAGTGCTGGGATTAAAGGTGTGTGCCACCATGCCTGGCTGGAGGAGTATTTATCAACACTATTGTTGAGCATTGCCAGCACACTGTGGATAATAAAAAGCTGACCTACTTTAAGTTGGCTTTGTTATTGTTGTCTCCCCTACAGACAAGGCATCCATTATTTCCTTCACCCAGGGAGTATTGCTCCTGCTGTCTTGACTTCTGAGCTCCAGAAATCTTAACCAAGTGCCCTACAGCTATGTAATTGTATCCACCCCTTAAAGACAAAAAGGTGACTATACAGCTAGGCATAGTCTACCCGCTTAAGAACGAAAGGAAACTTCATATATGGGCCATAGAGTTACAGAAATGCCTAGACTTATAGGATCTTTAGAAACCATTTAGGCAAAGTCCTCATGCTGTAGATTAAAATGATAAAAGATGGTCTGGAAGGTTAAATATATTGTACAAATTCACTCAACTGGTCAGTGGCCAAAGGCCAGCACTCAGGTCTCCGACCCCATCTAGTCTGTTCATTTCACTGCATAGCGATAAACATTCCACATAGATTTATTTAAAGTTATTTTTATTTATTTATTTTATACGTATGAGTGTTTTGCCTGCATATATGTAAGTGCAACCATGTTGTGCAATGCCTGCAGAGGCCAGAAAAGGGCATGGATCCCCTGGAACTGGAGTTATAGACAGTTGTCAGCCACATGTGGGTGCTGAGAACCAAACCTGGGTCTTCTGCAAGAGCAGTCACTGCTCTTAACCACTGACTGAGCCATCTCTCCAGCTCCATATATTTATTTTAAATAAGTACAAACTTTGGCCAGTTGAGGGACTTATGGAATATTTGTATAAAATGAGAAATGTGGTATCAGGAGAAAGTCATGGTCAAAGTTCAACCTTGTGTGCTTCCTTTGTGTGTGTCCCCTTGATCTTTGTTACAGGTGCTGTTTAGCCTCCACTCTTAGTTCAGCCTTCCCCAGACTCTGGAACCAGTTTGTTATTAGAACCCTCAGCTCAGTGTCCACACCCAGTCTGACACACACTGCCTTCTCTGGACCTCTGCACCTTGCTTTTGGGCTTAGCTCTCTTTTCTGTGGCCTCAGAGCCAGCTGTGATTACTCTTTTTTCTAAACCTGAGTTTCTCCGAGTTTCCTCTTTTTTACCTTTCTTCTACTTGGTTCCGTAGGCACATGTTCTGCTGATCTTAATCTTCCCGAGGAGTGGAGCTGTGTCCCTGAGCTCTACTCTCCAAGGCAGTCCCCAATACCTGCTGTTTGCTCAGCACTGCCAACCCTGCACGTTTCGTTTATTCAATCCTGATGGATTAGATAGTGGCTTTCAGGAACAGGTTCCTTGTGGTTAATCTTGATTGCCAGCCGTGGGATTTAGAGTCAGCTAGGAGACATATTTCTTGGTATGTCTGTGTTTCCAGAGAGGTTTAACTGAGGAAGGAAGTCCTTCCCCCTCCCACCATTGAATGTGGCTACCACCATCCCGTGGGCTGGAGTCTCAGACTGAATAAAAAGGAAAAAGCAAGCAAACACTGACGATCCTCTCTCTGCTTCCCGACTGCAGGCACAGAGTGGCCAGGTGCTTCAGGCTCCTGCCCCATTCCTTCCTACCATGATGGACTTAAACCATGAGCCAAAACCAACTCTTTCTTTCTTAGGGTGCTTTCGTCTCATACTTTGTCACAGCAATGAGAAAAGTAAGCAACGTATTTCTTAGCCTCCCACTATAGCCACTAGAACCATCTCAGATGGACAGTAGTCCACTAACTCAACATCATCAATTATGAATGGCAAGCCTAGTCTTACAATATATCAAGTCTTATTTTGCCCCCTAAAGATAGAAAATAAAAGCCTACCATGATGACCTCTAACTACTGTGTCCCATAAACATTTAAATCACACTATGCTTATGAGAGTGGCTGACTTTGACTTATGTTTAATTTGGTGTGTTTATTTTAAATAACAGTATAAGGTAACCTTCTATAAACCATATGGAATTTATACAACCAGTGCTATTTGTCTGACTTCTACACCATTACACAACAACAGGTTATCTGACTGTGCTTGTTATCTTTTTCAAAGTTTTGCTATTCTGCCTAGAAAATGATTTGAACTTTTAACCAAACAGACCCACCAGTTGATCTAACTGTATTATGCTTTAGCTGTCTGACTATAAAACTGAAGCCTAAGAGGCTGGAGGTATAACAGTGATAAAGCATGTACTTAACATGTTTGAGGTTCTAGCTTCAATTCCTAGCAACTTCCTTACCAAGAAAAGTTACCTTAGCTGCACCACAGGTACCCAGAGTTCTGAGATTAAAAAATACCCAAATCCCACATGTAACTTTCTGAAAGAATTTGTCTTCTGTCAAACTATGTAAATTAGTCATACTCTAAAAGTCTTAAAGACAGAAGAGTTTATATTGTAAGTAAGTACAGTGGAATTCATTATCATTGCATTTTGAGGTGATGACATAGTATATTGTATAGAGAAATAAGTGGTACAATTCTGAGACCATAAAATATTAACTTCAGGTCCCAGCTTGCCATCTCCTAGCTGAGTGACCCTGGGAAGTCACTTGCCTCTCTGTGTATAAGGAGAATGATGGCACTAGGCATGTCATGGATATTTGTGGTAACTGAGTTGGAGTGTTTAAAATGCTGAGAAGGTGTCTGACCCCGAGCAGGTATCAGCTAAGTGCTACTTGCTGTGTGGTGGTTTGTGTACTCTGTATGAAATGGTAGAGGCAACACAGTCACTATTCTTATTAATTCATGGATGCCAAGTAGCTTATTCCAGATTGTCAAGAAGTCAGAGAAAAGATAGTTCCCATGCCTCCAGATCTAGAGTCTTTTCTGGGCCACATATCACCTCTCCTTCCATTAGGCATTAGCAGGCCTTGCCATTTTACTTATTTTCACAAATCTCAGGCATAGCCCCATTGCCTAAGTGGATTCTTTGTTCACCAAGCCCCACCCTTGACACAATGTTCCTAGTTAGACAGAACTTGATGCTAGAGATGTGAGCACAGGGGCTGGAGATGGTATTTCAAGCATATATTAACATCCCCAGGTGAGGAGACAACATCAGAAGATCCCAGTGAATGAACACGTGTTCCAAAGTAAGAAGCCAACAGGAAAAGAACGATGACTGTTCAGTATCACCTCAGCATGTGGTCAGAACTTCACTGAATGTAACCCGGATGTTCATCTCCTTAATGCCATAGACATGTTGGAAGAAAAAATGAAGCCATTAGAATTAGAAGAATCATTGCTGCTTGGAGGAAGATTACATATAATGCAAGGTGATTAACATTAAGAACTATAGCTGTTTATTTTTAACTCCCTGATGGGCAGGTAGGGGAAAGGCCAGCTCTGAAGGCAGTGCCACTTAACCACATCATTGGTTTCTGGTGCACCAGCTTAGGTATTCCCCAGGAGCCACTGAGATGTATCACTCTCACTTTTCCTTTCTTCCTGAAGCACAGTGCTGGTTGTTTTTTGTCAACTTCATACAAACTAGAGACATCTGGGAAGAGGGAACCTCAATCAGGAAATTGCTTCTATCTGATTGACCTGTGGGCATGACTTCAAGACATTTTCTTGGTTGTCGAGTGATGTCGGAGAGCCCAGCCCACTATTGGTGGTGCCACACCTGGGCAGGTAGTCTGGGCTATATAAGAAAGGTAGCTGACCAACCTATCTCTCATCACTCCCTCAAGAAAACCAACTCTCCCTCTCCCAGTAGTCATCAATTACCAATAGCTTCTCAGCTAAGGTTGGAGTTTCTTATCCATTTCCCTACTTCTATGCTAGATTTTTGTTGGTTTGAGCTTGCGTGGATCTTGTGCATGACAGAACACATGAAATCCAGTGTGGGTCTATGAGGGGATGTAGATATGGGAGGAAGTCTAAACACAATCAAGATATATTATGAAATCCTCAAAAATTCAATAAAAAGTCAATAAAAAGTAAAGCTAGCTAGGTCAGGGGGAGCAAACCAGTAAGCAGCCATGGTCTCTGCTTTGGCTCCTGCCTCCAGGTTCCTGCTCTGGGTTCTTGCCCTGATTTCCATCACTGATGGACTGTCACTTGGACAAGTAAGATGCAATAAACCCTTTCTTCCCTAGGTTGGTTTTGGTGAGTGTTTTATCACAGCAACAGAGCAAACTAGAACATGCACCACAGGAGCATGCACGCTTTCCCAAGAACAGGGCTGAGAAGCCAAGAGTGGCACCAGGGAGAAAACGGCATGGAAAGATGAAACTCGATGTGCTTCTTAGCCACAAAACCCTTCTGGCCACTTCTTTTTAAAAAATATTTTATCTATTATTTTTATTTTATGTGTATGAGTACATTGCCTGCATGTATGTGAGTGCACCTGTGTCATGCAATGCTGCAGAGGTCAGAGGAGATCTTTGGATTCCCCTGAAACTGGAATTAAGAATGGTTCAGAACTGCCATGTGGGTGCTGGGACTTGAACTCAGTGCTCTTAACTGCTGAGCCATCTCTCCAGCCCCCTGGTCTCTTCTTAAGGGCTCATTTTCATAATGTGGCATGGAACTGGCTACTTCTATCCCAGAATAGAACCTGAGGCATTTTCCAGGAATCTATTGGAGCACAGCCGATGGTTTCTTAAAAGCTTTTATTCTTTTGGCTCCCAGGGCATTGTACTGTTTTGGGTCTTCTTCTGATGCTACTGTAGTCTTTTGGGGAGCTCTTTTCTTTTGGGGCCTGATCTGAGTCCCCAGGGCTTAGCCTTATAGGTTCTGCCCAAGTACTCTCTAGGTGACCTCACACTGTCTTGAGGCTCTAGCAGCACTTGAATGTTGAAAACTGTCTTGTTCCTGCCCTGCCCTTGCCTTGAAATTCCAGATCTGAGTATTCCATCTCTTACTCATCAGCACTGTCACTTGGAAAACTAGCAGGCACCTCAAGTTTAATGTTCCAACCTGAACTCTGGATACTCCTCAGACCTGCTCTTTCCAGACTTCCATTTATCCCTAATCAGAAACCCCCTCCACACAGTTGTCCCAGACAAATGCCTCAGTCTCGCTTCATCCTTTTCTTTTTCTTCTAAGCCATATCCATTCTAGTAGCAAATCCTTCTGGTGTCATCTTCTTTGATGACATTTTTGGTGTCATCTGTCAGCCTCGTTCCCTCCATCTACCGCCACCACTGCCATCCAACCCACTTTTACTTAGACTTAGCTTCCAAAGTAGGCTCTTAGTGTCCACTCTGGAGCTCTTAACCTTTAACAATGTAAATCAGACAGTGGACTCTTCTCTGCTCAGAACCTTGTAATGACCTTCATCCGATTTTCAAGAGAGCATTGCCCTCCCATGATTTACAAGGCTTTACCCACCTCTGTATCATTTCAGGGTCCTCAGCCACCCTGGACACTGAAGCAAACTCTTGACCTGCTCTTGACTCTTCTTCTGGTCTGGAACCTGTAGGTATTGCTTCCTCACCTCAGGCAGGCCTCTAACTCTCCATCCAAACGACACCCTTACTCTCGCCATGTCCTGCCCTGGGCTGATTTGTTGAATTGTGTTCCTTAGAGAGATGCATTGAAGTCCTATTCCTGGTACCTATGAATCATGATATTTACAGAGGTAATCCCATTAAGATGCTGACAGATGGCCTCCCAAGATGAGAGGAAAATGCCACACGAAGACAGACACATAGAGAAGAAAGCCATGTGACAACAGAAACAGAGACCAGAGTCATGTCACCCAAGTCAAGGAATGCCAGAGATTGCAGGACACCACCAGAAGCTAACAAGAGACTTTAGGGTTCCTTTCAGCGTCTCAGAGGCAGAAAGGTCCTGCTGACAGGACATTAACTTTGGATTTCTAATCCTTAACTTTGGATTTCTAACCTCCAGAACAGTGGGAGAATGTACTTCTGTTGCTTTAAGCCACCCTGTTCATGGTATGGGTTGAATATCCCAATCAGAAAATCTGAAATGAAAGAAACACTCCAAAATCCAAACCACAGAGAACACCAGCATAACTCTGTAAGTGGAAAATCTCACACCTGACCTCAGGTGACATTTCACCGTCAAAATGTGAGTGCACAAAAATATGGCCCCAAATCACCTTCAAGTTATATGTGTACAAGGATATATGAAACACAAGTGTCATGTTTAGGCTTGAGTCCTACTCCCCAAACATCTCATTATGGATATGCAGCTATTCCAAAATTTGAAAAAAATTCTGGTCTCAAACACTTCTGGTCTCAAGAATTTCTGATAGAGATTCTCAACCTGGACTTTGTTATAGCAGCTCTGAGGAGCTAACATACCCTGGTTAACCATGTTCATGCCACTTACCAATTTTTGAAATTCTATTTCTACTTGCTATTTAATATCTGTCTTCTCCATTTGTTATGAGGACCAGGAATAAGGGCTTTACTAGGGAAAGACCTAGACCACTTTGTCTAGGGAAAACCTTCATTCCTCGGGACTTTTTTTCCTCTGACAGCCAGTTCTCTGTAATGTCCTCAGACCAAAGTCTTGATTGACCCTAAGTATCAAAGATTATTTTATCTGTCAAACACACAGATCCTAAATGCTTTTAAACATTTATTATTTGCATTTACAAGCAAAGATGAATTTTCTTGTTCTTTATTCATTGTTGAGGTATGTGAACTATTTTTTTATTCTCTTTTTCTGAAGAGTAAACTCACCCATGAAAGTGATACATGGTCCTGGCTAGAGGATCATGATCACTGCATCTCTCTCCTTACCTTCTTGAAGACCTGGCTTCTCCCTCTCATGTCATGATGAATCTCTTTAGTGGTCTCAGAAAGTCCTTTCCTAAGGTGAAAAATAAGCCTGTGCTAAACTGAAAACCAAATTAGCATGGATCATGGGGCTGGTATAGCTCAACAAAACAGCAATAACAAATCAATATGTATACGTTGGTATTTGCTCCTGACATTGAATGTAAAAATGCAGATAAGAAGTTGATAGGCATCTGTGATTTTTATATGTTAGAGTGTGAAGACGGCAGTGCAGTATTCTACAGAAATGCTGGAAATCAGACACTGTCAGCAGTGCCTGGCTAACTGGGTTCTCCTATTTCTTCACAGTTTTCATGAAACATATCAAATATGTGGCTTTTCAATTCCTTCCTGTTATGTTGAGAAATAATATTATTCTCCAAAATGTGAACACTTCAGAGCTAGGTGTGGTGGTGGACACCTTCAATCCTAGCACTCAGGAGGAAGAGGTAGGCGGATCTCTGTGAGATCAAGGCCAGCCTGGTCTACATAGTGAGTTCCAGGCCAGCTGGGGCCAGGGAGACCCTGTCTCAAATAAACAAGCAAATAAGTGATCATTTTAGAATTGGGCAAGGTTAACATCACTGGTTAGGATGGATGTTCACCCCACATGCACTTGCAAGAAAGTCTCCTCCTCTGAGAAGGCTCTCTCCCAAATGTGGTCACAGAACAAAGTTCAGTGGATAAGCTGTGTTCTGGGATGGTTCCACTGACAACATATTCAGACCTGCCAACCAGAGACCAGCATTGGAAAGACTTCCTGTATAATTCACTCTAATTGGTCATTTCTGGAATCCTCTGCCCCCACTTGAAAAAAAAATTCTTGACAGGGTTAAGAAAATCCAACGTTGATTCACTTTTTTTTTTTTTTTTTTTGAGACAGTGTTTTCCTGTAGCCCTAGCTGGCCTGAAATTCGCTGTGTAGACCAGGCTAGCCTCCATTTCACAGAGATTCACCTACCTCTGTCTCCTCTGTGAGTGCTAGGATTAAAGGTGGGGGTCATAGCACCCGGGTCTTTGACTCACTTTTCCTCATCTATGTTGAACATTTTATGTATGGTCTATACATCATATGTATATACTTTTAAAGACAAAAACCAGTATATTATTTCGTTCTTTTCTTTTCTTTCTTTTATTTTTTTGTCTTTTTGAGACAGGGTCTCCCTGTAGCCTCAGCTGGCCTGGAACTTGCTATGTGGACCAAGCTGGCCTCGAACTCACAGAGATCCTCCTGCCTCTGCCTCCCATGTGCTGGGACTAAAGGCGTGAGCCAGGCTATTTATTATTTCTTACAAAATATTTGGCCTGTATTTAACTTCCTGTGAAGTTAAACTGTCTCATGAATGTTTATTGTTTCTATTTAGGCAGATGTTTATAGTAATTCACATGGCCTGATCCACATTGACTGAAGCCACATCCTGAGCCTCTGAAACCAGCATCTTGGGCATGAATAAAATGAATGGACTATTTGAAATTATTTTGTCTGGCCATCTCCTGCCCTGTTCAAAAAATGATACCAATACTGCATTTCCGCCATTTTAGCAGCCAGATGCAAGGACTTGCCAGGATCATTTTAATACTGCATTGTACAAATTGAGCTCACTTGTGCCAAGGTTTCTCTGGGCAAAGAAGAATTGTTGTTCCTCAGTAGAAGCTCAGGTTACACTTTATTAAGCAGGGCTCTAGGCTTAAAGACCATGGTGCTCGAGTTCACTGGCAACAGCCATTTTGAACTTCTGAAAACTAGGATGTAGTTTTTTTTTTTTTTTTCAATGACTGAAGTTTTATAGGATAGAAAGAGACTGATCAGGATTGAAGAGTAGATGCAAGGCCAACCAGGTTTTGCTGGCTCCAGCATGAGGCTGCATAACAGCAAAAGCTGCTTTTCAACCAAGTCTAAGCAAATTTGTCTCAGTAGCTGAGGAATCACAAGGGAGATCTGAGGATACCAAGATGTACTGTACAAACAGCAAGAATTAAATAAATAATAGAGCAAATAAGATAGCAATAATATGAATATATGATGTACACACAAAGCACACACACATGCACACATGTACCTACAGGTAACAATAAAGCCTTGACCCTGTGGTCAAGAGTCTATACAATAGGATGAACCCAAGGTACACATCTTAAAAAAAAAAAAAATTAAAGTGATGCAAGGGCTGGATGTGGTGGTGCACAGGCCTTTGATCCCAGCCACTTGGGGAGGCAGAGGCAGGCAGATCTCTGTGAGACAGAGGCCAGCCTGGTCTCCACAGCAGTTCCAGGCTAGCTGGAACTACAGGGAGACCCTATCTTAAAAAGACAAAAACAAACAACAAACAAACACATAAAAAATGACACAAGAGTCGACAAAATGGCTCATGGAGTAAAAGTGCATGCTGTCAAGCCTGACAGCATGAATTCAATTCACAGAATCCACAAGGTCAAAGGTCAAAGGAGGGAATCAACTCCTGTTGCCTTCTGACCTGGGTGGTGAGGCATGAGCATGCCATGCTGTTCCCCCACAAACACACAGACAGTACATAAATAAAATGTAGGTTAAATTTTTTTAACTGATGCAAGGCTGCCCTATGTGATACAAAAAGTATTTTCCTCATCTTTTCCCCACCCAGTTAAGTGGGAAATGTAACTGCTCTGTAGCTTTAATTTGTTTTGAGGTTTAACACAAATTCTTTTGGTGAAAGACCTAGGCTGATCTTCAGATTTTAACTCAAGGTAGCATACAAACAAGAACAACAAACAAGCAAAAATAGTGTGCGGAGGGTGGAGGATACTGGGAGTTTTGCAGAATTGCCCTGCTTAGATGGCATCGTTCTCAGTAGGAGAACCAGAGAACCAGGGCGAAGCAATCCACAGGCTGCCGCTCCATCCCCCAGACCGACACGTTGACACCAGGGGCTGGACCAGGAGCTGGCTGGGCAGATGCGCGCCTGGGGCTTTCGGCAAAAGCTAGAGCGGTCCTGACGGATTCCTAAGGGTCAAAGTAGCTGCCACCTTTTCAGAAGGCTCGCCAGGGAGGTGGAGGATGGAAGAAAGGAGACCCTTCTAGGAGGGGCCAGGTGCACCCGCGGGGAGCCGCACGGGAGCAGAACCCTGAACACCAAAAGTTAGAGGAATTGCTAGGAGGGACGTCAGGGCTGGGTGTCCTGGGCGAAGGGAGTCACCGCAGGATCCTACCCAGTTCAGAGTCACTCACCATCCTCCAGCACTTCGTGAACCAGCAGAAGTCCTAGCAGCAGCCACACTTTCATCTTCGGGGCTGGGCACCCGGCGGTGTTGCTGGGGACTGCCGGCTGCGCTGGGCAGGGCAGGGCAGAGGCGCAGCGGGCGGCGGCGGGAGCCCCAGCAGGACGGGACCGGCGCCCGGGACACCACAGCTAGAGGATTCGGTTTCACCAGGAGGAACACAATTTGGGAGAAAAGTTGGAGATATTTTTTAAAATTCCCAGCGTAATGTGACCTCTCCTGCCCCCTGGCGGAGCGGTGAAGCGCAGCGCTTTTCCAAGCGCTGGGAAGACAGTCAAAGCTAATGTCACTCCTTGATTTTCTGCTGTGTTGGGTGTTTGTACTTTACCAAGGTCAAGAAGGCCTAGCGTAATTGCAGATGGAACCACACACTGTAGCCGTCCAAACGGCACTCACCATCTGCTCAGCTGGGGCCTTGGCCCGCTACAAAAAGTGCCCTCTAAATTTCTGTAAGTCCTAAGATCTCTCACTTGTTCTCAGCAGTGGAACTGCTGCATTTGGTTGTTCTGGCTTTTCTTTAGGTCAGGTCAGAGATAGGCTAGGCACACAGGCATGCACCTGCTTAACCTGGGCATCTTGCTGCAGCTGAACCCTCCCGCAGCGTGGTGGAGGGCACTTCCCTCCCACCCTCCTTTCTCAGCCAAGGTTAGCACTCTGAGCTCCTTGTAAATGTGAGCTTTATTTTCTTCCAGGAGACTTCTGTACTGGTGACTGATGAGCTACTCGAATGCAGATAAAGAAACGTGAAAGGGCCTGGTGATGTAGCCCAGTTGGTACAGTACTTGTTTAGCATACAGGAAGCCCTGGGTTCAAGTCCCAGCAACCCATAAAACAGATACAGTGGTACATGCCTGTAATCCCAGCTCTCAGGAGGTGGAGGCAGGAGGATCAGTTCAAAGTCATCCTCAGTTACTTAGCAAATTCCAGGCCAGCCTGGGCTAAATAAGATCCTGTATCCAAAAAGGTTAAATGGCCAAGATGAATAGGAAAAGCTAATGTAAGTGAAAATAAAATTTAACACTAAATTGTAAGATATATGCCAACAATACAAGACAATACTAGAGAAGTCCAGGGAGCAGAGGCTGCAGATGGAGAAGAGGTGGAAATCACAGGAGATGCCCTGGAGTTTGGAGAGGAGAGGGAGGAAGGAGGAGGGAGGGGAAAGGGTGCATCCTTCTGGGCTGGCCAACCTCTGGTCAGAAGGGCATGGGCACAAAGCAGACTGGCCCCACAGCACAGGGGAGAGGGCAGAGTTACTGTGAAAGTTAAGTGGGAAATAGGACTGAGCAGACAGTCTGGATCTATGAAGGGCCGGCTCCTGTGGGGCAGAGGACTTATTTAGACACAATATAGTCCTCTGCAAAGAGCAGTTGTAGGATCCTGAGCTTGTAGACTCCCAAGATCAAAGCAGTTTGCAGTATGAGGATGCCAATGTGTGGTCCCTAGGGGAGGATCAGGCCTTTGGCTTTTGGCTTCTATCATTATGGTCTTAATTTGGGGGGGGGGGGGAGTGGGGGGCAGGGTCTTGCTATGTAGCTCAGGCTGGCTTCAAATTCTTGGTGCTCCTGTTTCTGTCTCCTGAGTGCTGAGATTACAGGCATGTGCCAGGAGGCCTGGTCCTCACTGTGGTCTCTAGCCCCGAACATTACTATTAAGGAAGGCTCACCACTAGTAACAGGGAGGGGTCTACTCTCTCAGCTCCCAAGAGAAGTGCTGCTGTGTAGGATAAACCAGTGCTTCTCTGCCACTTTATGCAGGAGGAACCAAGAATTCTGCAGTGTGTTGCCAGCTCACCTAGCTTTGCCATTTACTTGCACTGCTGTGGAGAAAACAGTTGCCTGAAAATAAAGAAGGGTAAGGTATGGGTCTCAGTACTGCCACAGACTCCATCTTCTTTCACTGTTCATTTAATTATCTTCTATCAGTTGTCAACTTGACACACCTGGGTAGAGGGAATTTCAATTGGTGAATTTCAATTGAGGAATTTCATGTGAGGAATTTCCTCCACTGGATTGGCCTGCAGCCATGCCTGTGAGGCATTTTCTTGATTATTGAGTGATGTGGGAGAACCCAGCCCACTGTGGGCTGTGCCACCCCTGGGTGGGTAGTCTTGTTATATACAAAAAAGCAGGCTGAGTACAGTTCATGGAAGCAAGGTAGTAACTACCCTTCCTTCATGGTCTGTGCTACAGGTTCCTGCCCTGAGTTCCTGCCTTGACTTCCCTTAATGAGGAACTGTGAGCTGTAAGCCAAATAAACCCTTTCCTCCTCAAGTTGGTTTTGGTAAGTGGCTTTATCACAACAATAGGAGGTAACTAGAACATCTAGTTTTAGAGTGTCTCATTAACAGAGGGAGGAAACAAAACCTGATAACTGTTTCAACTGATCTTTCTATGTGGTATTGTGGACATGAAGGTTAAGACATCATCTTTGATGGTTAATCTACACTGTCAACTTGATTGGATTTGGAATCCTAGGAGACAGACACAGCTCTGGGTGTGCCTTTGAGGCTATTTCCAGAAAGGTGAATGAATGTGGGTGACTCTATCACAAGACCCCTGTTCCCAGCTGAATAAATAGAAAAGGAAAGCAAACTGAGTACCAACATGCATCCATCTCTCTTTGCTTGATTGCAGACGCAGTGTGGCCAGCAGTCTCACACTCCTGCTACCTAGTTTTTCTGACATGATGGCCTGTATCCTCTTTGAAACCCTGAGCCAGGACAACTCCTTCCTCCCTCAAGTTTCTTCTTGCCAGGTATTTGGCCACAGCAATTTGAGAAGTAACTGATCTGGGCTGGAGAAATGGCTCAGCAGTTAAGAACACTTGCTGTTTTTCCAGAGGACCTGGGTTTGATTCCCAGCAAGAACATGGCAGCTAACAACTGTCCATAATTTCAGTTCAGGGGATTAGATGTCCTCTTCTGGCCCCTGTGCTAGCATCACACACACGTTGTGCACTTCCATATATGCAGGCAAAACACTTATACACATAAAATAAAAATAAAGTATTTTAAAAAGTAGTCCATCATAGCCATTTTTAAGGAGGGGCAAGCACGTGGAGGCCAGCATATGGACTACTACAGTGTGGTGTATCGTGTTCTGTGAAGGATCCTGAGCAAGGAACTTTGGGAGTGCCCATAGGAGTGGCTAAATGGGGCCTGGGCTGCCTAAACCTATGGTCCCTTTCATCCAAACCCAGAGTTTACGCTTTCACTTTTCCTTTGCACTGCAACCTAGCCTGGTCTACAGTCTCCCTCTGCTCACTCCACACGGTAGCTGGGCCCTACTCCTTTACCTGCTGCCTGTGCATCAAGTCCACTCCTTTCGTCATTGGAATCAAATTTCACTACCCTGGTGAAAGCAGTTATCGTCTCCCATCTGGAGCGCTCCTACAGCCCCATTTAATCTCCTGGCCCGTCCTTCTTGCACTTCAGTGCCTTCTTTCCCCAGCAATTAGTTCTATCTTCAGATGAAACTCACCTTACAAACTTGAAAGTCTTTCTAGCAAGGCTGGGAAGTCTAGAGCTCTCTGCCTCTGCAACTTCCTTCCTTGGTAGTTACCACCTACCCTGCCCTCCACATCTCCCATCACACTTCCATCATCTACCAGTTCACACCTTCTATATCCCCAGCCTCTGTGTGGTCCACTGCTTGTTACTGCTTCTGGTGCCACAAACTATCTCCCTTCATTTTGCCACCCCCTTTCTCCCCACCCAAATCTCTGACCTTGTTCATTCTACAAGATTTTGCTGAGATTTTACCTCTTCCCTGCTGACCAAGGACTTTTGGGGTACGAATACTTTTGTCATAGCACTTACAATAGAATTTGGATGAGTGTCTGCTTACCCTTTTCTCATTCCTATTCCTATGAGTTCAAGAGTAAAAACTGTGTCATTAAGGTTTATATTCTGCCACCAGTAACTGGAAAATAATAATTTATTTGTAATTAATTTAGACTTTTGTAGCCTTACCACACATTATGATTGATCTTATCAACAGGCCTGCGAGATAGGCAATATTTTATTATTCGTATGTTATGGGTGAGAATTCCCAAAGTCAAATTTATACTAAGTCACGATCCAATTTTTTCTGACTCGAATGTCTGTGGACCTAAGAACCCATCCCACTCTTTAAAATGAGGTGTTGAATCACTGCAAATAGGAACTCTTAAATATCATTCTCCTGACCTGCAGGCAGAAGTGGTCCCAAAGTTGCCCTTCTTCAGTTCCTGGAATTGAATTGTGGCTTACTTCACAGGCTTGTTAGCAGAAACCTTAAGACCAAAATACAATGGGATTTAAAAAAGGAAAACTATTCCATGGAAAAGTGGAATGCACAGTTTCTTTGCCTTTGGCAACAACATGTAGTTGCTTTTATAGTTGAATCCAAAATGTCCCCTGTAGGTTTGGGAAAGAGACCATTCATGTTATATTCTGGCAAAGACTCTTACTATGTTTTGCTTTGTGTCCTAAAAATCTGAGCAAAGCTGAATTCAAAAACAATTCTAATTTATTTGTTAGAGGAACTTTGAAGAGAATACAATGTCTGGTCTGTGGTGTGGTTGCTGCTGACTATTGATGATTTTGCACAGATTTATAGAGATAAGGAGCAAAAAGTGGAGTAGAGGGATGTGGAAAATGTAGAGTGCAGCAAGGACAGACGCTGGAGAGCACTTAAAGTTGTAGACAAGGCAGATACAGATGAAGTGGCTGTAACTGTTAGATTAGCACCAGTAAAAAGAAACGGTATTTTTGCTCTGGGACAATAAATAGGAAAGCTACTTTGATGGAAAGTCTCCTCGCTACCACCATTCATTGATGGCTCCAAAGTGTAAGCTGAAAACCCATTTGAAAGATTTCCTTTGGAAAAGAATGCCTGAGAAGACAGAGCGTCAAGGATGTCTTTCAGGAACATGGCTGCCTATGGAAGTGTTTGCCCCAGTTCAGCCAGGCAGTCACTAAGACATCATTACAGCCATGGTCCAAGACACTGCAGACTTCACTTCAAGCTGGCAGCAGAGCTTGGCATCATCCACGTGGAGCTGTTTGGAGGCAAGCAGAATGCAGAAGTTACTGAGACATGAAGCCTTGCACCAAGTTTCCAGAAATAAGATTATGAGGCCAAACAATGTATAGCAATATTGGATTTCTTGCAAGGAGGCCCCGCGAGGCTCT